CGTTTTCACAACGTTCTCAGTGCATCGGGGAGACATACGGTACAGACATCGAAAGTGAAAATAAGGTTAAAATGAAACTCAGAATAGAATGAAATTTCGTTAAAACATAAAGGTTACCATCCACTTCAGCAAAATTATAGTAGTTAATCAATACCAAAGCATGAAAAACCATTACAATCAGATTTCTGACATTAGCTATAAAACATCAGTGACTTGTCGGACCCAGTATAACGCGAATGCCTGCAAATGCACAAATCCAAATCATAAACATTTAGTTGAGACTTAGCATATCAGCCATGCAACTAATGCAGATCCAAGGTTGTGACATTTTTCTTTTCGGACAGCACGTAAATTCTGAGTCCTGTTGAGGATACTGAGATAGATGTAGGTGATGAAAATCAAATAAATCCTTAAAATGAACTTCTAGAATAGACGATATAGTATAATCCGCTTCATTTCACCATGGGCTTAATCCATATAAACCCCTTTGAAAAATCTACGAACCATGTGCCATATGAACAGGACAATTCCGATTAGATTAGATATTAACACTAATAAGCAAACTACAGCCTATTATCGATAAATTGGGTTACAAATGTATTAAAACAGCTTCACCTGGACATGGAAACATATGGCTTTGTTCTGATCCGACCTTCAGTGTCTGAGCATGCACCAGTAGCCAGAGTCAAGTGGGCTCTAGCGGCGGAGTGTCGGACAGAAGGTGGCTTCAGAGCCATGTCAAAAGCGAATCCAACGTCAACTTCACCTCGTTTGAATCGACCTTCAATGCCCTTTTCTAAAGCAGCAGGATAGAAACCAGTCATTCTGCGTCGCGGAGCCTGGCCTGTTCGATGGCCGGATCTGAATGACACGGAATTAAACCTTTTGCAAGAGTCGCCTAGTGCTTCAAAATTAGATAGGGGGGGCGGGCGAGACAAACATGAGACAGCAGCTGCCCTGGAGACCTCGGCAACTAAAGCGGCAACTGCAGCCTCAGCGTCACGCTCTCGCTCAGAAGGGACAGGATGAAGAACTGAAGCCGGAGAACCACCGTCCCCAGAAGGCAAATAGCCAATACCTGATAAAGGGAATAATGAGGAATGTAAAAAAGGACAGATAAGAAAGATCACCATATCTAAGATGCAAGAAGGGTGCCTAAAAGCCAACTTAACACGGGTTTGAAATAG